CTCGAGGGACCGGGGTTTCTTCTAGCCACCGTGGAGTTCTCCTTAGAGCAAGTCAATTTGCAACGGCTGGGTCTAACCACTCTATAAACACCAGTGCTTGTGAGCAAGTATATGTCTTTATTGTTATCCTCACCAAAGGAGAAGATATAGCCTAGAGATGGCCCTGAAGTTCCCGGAGAATCACTGCATTTCATCGGTGAGTCACCCGCGCAGCTAAAGGTTATTCTGTTGTTCACAAAGTTACCGCTATTAGCGGGCGTTTCAATCCCCGCCCACACACCATTTCCATATAGATCAGCATACACATACCTGCATGAAAACATTATAGTTGACAAAATGTTTTGTTAACATGCACAAGAGAGGACGAAGCAGAGAAAAGTGTTTGTTGGTTGACTCACATTCCAGCTATGCAAGGATCAGTCTCTGATCTATAGAAGTATCCTCCTGTGATTGAAGCTGATTTTCCACTAGAGTCGACTTCAGAGTGGTTGTAACCCATCACAGGAAATATCGTGGTTACGGATTTAGCAGACGTGTTTCCTCCAGGGGATGAATCGGGATGGAAAAGATCCAAGCCTTCGTACACACGCCAACCGTAGTTTCCTCCTTTGGTAATGAGATCCACCTCTTCATATGTGTCCTAAAAACCGCAAAACATATCAAGAACATCGGAAGACCGCAAACGAAAAAATGGATTGTCAAAACAAGCCATTACCTGTCCAACATCAGCACACATGAAGTAGGAAGGTCTAGAAGAATCAAAGCTGCATCTCCAAGGGTTCCTCATTCCGACAGCCCATATTTCAGGTTCAAGCTCTTTGTCTTCACGGAAAGGATTGTCTTTTGGTATAGAGTAGTTTCCCCATAGACCCCTTTTGGAGATCTCAGAAGCACCTGAAGACATTTGTAGAACTTGGTAAATGACAAAGGACATTTGTATAGTGTTGTGTTATAAACAAAAAAAAACCAAGCTATAAATCTAAGTATACCCACTAGGAATGTTATCTACATCAAGCCTCATGATTTTTCCTAGCAAAGACTTCTTGTTCTGCGCGAAATTATACGGGTCTGCGCCTCCACCTCCATCTCCCATCATGAAGTATAAGTACCCATCTGAGGGACCAAAGAGAATCTGTCCAGCATGGTGAGATGTGAAGGGAAGTCCCATTGTGAAAATCCTCCTGACTTCTGTTGGCTTAGCGTTCTTCGCCTGAAACAACCGGAAAATGACAAACAACAAAGATTAAGATGCCAAAAAGAGGTCGAGAAGAGTATTATATTTATACCTTAGAAGGGTCTGAGGAAGTAGCATTTGTTGAATACTCAGCTATTACAGTTTGGAATTGGCAAGGTTGAGATCCACTATCAGGAGTTATTTTGGAAGGATCACAGTTTACATCAGAGTTACATGAGCATCTTCCAGTACATCCCGGCCACTTGGACTTATCGCAGTTGAAAGAGGCGAAAAACCGCCCATTTTGAGCAAACTTTGGATGAAAAGCCATACCCATCATCCCAAACTCAGTATCAAAATGAATTTCATCAGTCAAATCCACAAAAGGACTAGATGGATCCACATCCAATACCCCGCCTGAATCTTGATCCGGTATACCAGCCAAGAACACTATTCCAGGTTGTGTAGAGAAGAATGCACGGTTCGAGCCATCAGGGTGAGGAACCATGTTGAGGTAAGAGCCATTGCCGATTTTCTCAAGGCATAGACCAGTAGGGGCCTTGTCAGCATTAGTGTCACTAAAAGTAACTGGCTCGCCATTGAAGCAAACAGTTTCATTGGAGCTATCTCCACCAAAGGCACTGCAGAAATCGGTTTTTGACTGCCATAGATCAGCAAGCTTAGAGGCATTGTTGTTCGCAGGCGCTCCAACTCGGCCTTGCAACGAGGCAGCGAAAAGAGAACCTGTTATAGAGACGTTTTGACATGTCTCCCATGTCTCAGAGCAAAAGTCCTTTGTGGAATTTGCTGAACTTGAAGAGTTGCAGAGTATTGGAACAGATTGCTGATCTGAGTTATCTCTGAATAAATCCGATGAATAAGGATCGCATTTCTGCAACATCACAGTGACAAAAAAAAGGTATTTTTAGAACACAAATGAAACATTTGCAAAGTTGCATAAATGAATCATTTTGCAGAATGTTTAGAGATTAAGAGAGAGATTTGTTGTACTTACAGCACAAAGGATTGACTTTACAACAGAAGCACAACCTTTGTCGGAAATGTTCATAGCTTGAAATTGCTTGTTCAAATTGGAATCTTTCATTGAATCGCAACATGTTTTTTCTTTGTAAGGACAAAAACTCAATGTCGAATTCACCTTCAATGGTGCTCCTGAAAAAAAACCACACAAAGAAAGTTGACCAGACCATTGCATCAAATCTACAACACCAGAACTAAACCCAAAATCCATAGGCAGATAACAAAACAAAAGAAACTCACTTGAATCGGAACAAAGAGGAAGAGCCAATGAAGATAGAGCTAAATATGAGAGAAACAAGAAGAAGAACACAAGAGATCGATGAAGCATCATCGTGTCTCACAAGAGACAATGACAGTGAACGATTGAATCAAGAAAGAAGAAGAAAAAAGCTCTCTTTTTTATACATGTGATTGATCTCAGGACAAGACAAGAGATTAGATATAATAATAAGATTAGTTTGTTTGACTCTACAGACAGAATAAATGTAATAGCGATTGCGTTTACTGTCTTCCCATGACTACCAACAACCATATCCCTCGACATCTCTCTTCTCTTATTATTAATGAATATCTTCATGTGCCTTTGAACATTTCCACTTTCTCGTGTCACAGAAACAGAGAGAGATATGAACAAAGTTTCTGTCTTTTTTTACAACTCTTCACGGGCTTATCGTCTTGAGATGGGAAAGTCAAAGTAGTTGACTTATTACATATAGGTTTTTGGGTTTCTTCTAAAAAAAAAGTAGGTTCGAAGTTAATAAAGGAGAAGATGACAAAGGAAAAAAGTAGTTGTCTTCTTCAAGTTCTCTTCCATTTATGGCTGCAAAACTTTTTTGCTAAAAAGTCAATACTATTGTTTATAATAAAGTAACTCTAAATTATATGTCGAAATTGTCAATGGTGTAACTGGAAACGCAATGA